GACAATTTGTACAAATATATGTCATGCATGTCCAAAAAGGCAACTTGAGGTTTTATTAATGTTGGATAAGTTTTAAAGTTAGAATTAAATTCTCCTAACACAAAACATGTTTATTTTTATTCCTAGCTTTAAAGTGGATATTAAAGTGATTAATTTAAGTGATTGTTTAAATTTTTTTTTTTTAATAAGGGGCAGATATAAGAATTATTTTTCTTCTTTCTGCACTCTTTTCATTCAATTTTTTCTTTTTGATGATTTTTTATTTTGTTTCTTTTAAATGAATGAATAAATGAATTAAATTAAATAAAATGTTAAATGGCTTCAAACACCTGCTAAGTTCATGGCATAAACCAACAGACATGTTCCTGTTTTTAGTATTTTACATCACTTTATAATGTAGCTGTCTTTTGTTTTTAATATATATAATTTTCAAATCATGTTTTTTTTATGATTGTCTACTGTTGTACTGATAAATATCTCCTGGAAGGTAAACTATATCTTGGATGCAAATATCAAACTGTGAAATCCTTCGTTTTCTAAAACTGATAGGAGTTGGACATTAATTATGAAGTTTAGCAACTTTTCTGTAAACATTAGCGCTCCATGGTTTCAGCGATGTCTTCTTCTTGTTCAATCCGAAGCAGGCAGCCTGATTTGGTGCAGCCGCGCTCAGTCTGTCCCTCCTCAGAGACAGGCAGACTGCGAGGCAGATTGGACGCGGCTGGCCGAGATCGAGTCGCCTCTTTCGGATTCAGCGAGAGTAGCGCCCCACTGAAGCCACAGAGCTCGAATGTCCAACGTAAAACTAACTTTACCGCGGTTTAATGTGGCGCTATGGCTCTGCAGACATTGCACGTTGCTGTCTTGTTTTGTGGTGTTTCTAATATAAAATACTTCCACACAGCGGACATGTTTAGATGAAAAGTTGGTTAGCTGTTAGCCACAGTGCTGCTAACTCAGCCCTCACGTTGTAGCTGGCTGAAAACTATCAACTGGATTTCCTGAATGTGAGGCGGGTCTTATTATTCTGGATTCATGAGACAAGCCGCCGTTCATGAAATCCATTCCATAGTTTGAAGCCAACGTGCAACGCAACCACAGACATGCATCATGGATCGGAAATATCGGCAGGTGGATCTGAAAAATCCGATACGTAAATTATGCTGGTATCGGAGGGCCGATACCGATACTGGATCGGATCGGCCCCATCCCTAATTTGTTGTCTGTGTGAATCAGAACATGCTGATTCCGCAACAGGGGAGCAAAATGCTGAATCATATTCTAAACTGTGAGACAATCCAAAATGTTTATATGAGCTGATGGTGTGAGGCGGCCACAGCGTCCCCACCACTTGAGACAGGCACGTTCCTCCCAAGCCTGACAGGGACACGTCTGTGAAAACTGAGACGTGTGATGTAGGTCTGCTGATAAGAACTCCCTCTGACAGAGTGAGAGGGTTTCCCCAGCGCTTCTGGTCGGTTCCCACGGAGGGGGACACAGAGATCATCCGTCTCTTCTGACGTACCGGATCTATGCGCAGGCGAGCGAACCATATCTTAAGGCATCTCATGTGGCGTAAGCCCAGCGGAACTACAGCGTGAGCTGACGACATCGTTCCCAACAGTTTCATGATCGAGACGGCCGTTACTACTCTGCTGGGTTTTACACGGCGGAGCTGGTCCTTTAGAGCTTCGGCTCTCGTCTGTGATAAACGGGCCCTCATAGTGACTGAGTTTAGCTCCACTCCCAGATAAACGATCATCTGGGCAGGGAGAACCAAACTCTTCTCCCAATTTATGGTGAAACCCAGGTTTAACAGGTGTGATGTCAGCGCTTTGGTTTGTGCAGCTGCTTCCTGTCTGGATCGGGTCAGCAGCAGCAGATTGTCCAGATAGAACAAAATTCGCATCCCTGCTCTGTGTAGCGGCTACCGAACAGTCTCCACGCATTTCGAAAACGTGCGTGGTGCGAGGGAATAGCCGAACGGGAGCCTGTTGTACTGGTACTGGGTCCCTTGGAAGAAGAAGCGCAGGAACTTTCTGTGTTTTGGAATGATTGGTATGTGAAAATAGGCGTCTTTTAGATCTATGGAGGTAAACCAGTCGTTCTAGTGAATGTTGTCCAACATCTGTCTGGTTGTCAGCATGTGGAATTGTCTCTCCATGATCGAATTGTTGAATACGGATAAGTCCAAAATGGGTCTCATTCCTCCGGTCCTCTTCGGAACCAGGAAGTAACATGAGTAAAACCCCGTGTTTTCCTCTCCGTTGGGAACCCTGGAAATTACGTTTCTTATCAGTAATTCCTGCACTTCTGGGTGGAGAGACGAGATCTGTTCTGGAGATGACAGAACCGTCTCTATAATCCCTCTGAACGGTGGGGGTTGAGCTGCAAACTGCAGTGTGTAACCTCTGCTGATCAGACGGTCCATCCATCTGTCCAGGGAACACACTCGCTGCCACTCTGCGTAACGCTCTGGGAGCGGGCATGCGTTTTTGTGTTGTGTCAGGTTCTTTATGGACGTTAGCCAAGCTAAGGCCTCCACCGCCATCATATGCTCTGGAGATGCTCTTTGAGCGACCCATGGGGAGGCCTTGGCGAAAGGGCTCTGGGAATGCCTCTGTGCTGCGCTCAGGCTGCGAGCTCACATCAGAGTTGATGTGAGCTGACGCGCACTGAGGAGAGGCGTAAGCGCCTTTAGAAATGTGACGCTGTTTGGGTGGAGATTGCAGTTCCGGTGGAGAAACGCGTTTGCTCCCGCTGCAGTTAGAAAAATCAGAACACAACCTGGGCTGAGAGAAAGGATTTTTTCTGGGCTCGATCTGCTGAAAAAAATCAGTTTTAGCTGCTGTGTCAAGCGAGCATTTTGTGTGGTTTCTCGAGCTGCGGTGACTTTTAAAAACCTGTTTTGAGGTTACCGGCCCGATTTGTGTGGAGGATGTGTGAAGAGAAGCCGCTGTGAGATCATTCGATCTGACAGTCAGGCTGGAATCAGAAGACACTTTACTCTCTGAATGATGTTTTCGTTCTATTTTAAAACTCATCTCATCATTATACATACACACATCCTCCGCAAGGAGTCATTTCTTGTATCTTCTCCCCCGTGAGCCCTGCGACTGGTTGTTCCAGGATGGCGCCTGTTGGCGGTCTCTGGGGAAACGCTGAGCCGCTGGTTGCTGCGATGAGAAGGACTGTTCTCTGGCGGGAGGGGCCGGTGGCGGAGCGGGGAGGGAGGACACTGCTGCAGCTGAGGAACGTCTCTGCTGCTGCCTCTGACCACAACGATTTCTCCAGCTGGTGTGTGTGTGGGGGGGGGGGGGGGG